GCACCCCAAGGAGTCCTTCCACAACAACTTTGTCTCACTGGACTGTGACCAGTGCACCATGGTCACCCAGCACGGCAAGCCCATGTTCACCCAGGTACCAGCTGCACCCGCGGCTCCTTGTGCCCCTCGTGCCTTGGCCCAGTGTGTCCTCGCGGTGGATGCGGTCCCACGGGGCCGTTGTGGGCTCATGGGTTTGGCTTGTGCTGAGTCTCATGGCTGGCAGGGGCAAGCCACCAGGAGGGTGTTCCAGTGCGCAGCAGTGGGGTCCCGGTGCGCAGCAGTGGTGTCCCAGGGGATCTGGGCTGGGGGAAGTGGCGTCAGGCTCTTCTTGACCCTGTGCCCTGCCCAGGTGTGTGTGGAGGGGCGGCTCTACCTGGAGTTCATGTTTGACGACATGATGAGGATAAAGACGTGGCATTTCAGCATCCGCCAGCATCGAGAGCTCATCCCCCGCAGCATCCTTGCCATGCATGTGAGTACTACTCGGGGAGCCCCCCCATGGTATGAGTGACACCGGGTGGCTGAGCAACTCTGTGCTGTGCAGGGTTAGGGGAGCTTTGACCCTGTCCCCTCATTGCAGGCCAGGGCACAGGAGGGCTGTCCCCAGCCCAGATGCGGCTGAGCCATCTGTCCTTCTCTCTCCTAGGCACAGGACCCCCAGATGCTGGACCAGTTATCCAAGAACATCACCCGCTGTGGGCTCTCAAATTCCACACTCAACTACCTCCGAGTAAGTGTGCAAGGAGAGGGGACACAAAGCTCTGATGCTGGAAGGGGACCTTGGGTGGCCACATCTTGTGCTCTCAGCTGCCCTGGGGTGTGGGGAGGCAGCAGGGCAGGCTCTGCAAGAGGGGTCTTGCAGCTGGGCTGCAGAGAGCTGTGGGGCAGTGGGTTTGCCAGAGCCTGCAGGCTCCCAGCATGGCCTGGGTTGGTGCAAGGCAGCCAGCTGCCTGCCAGAGGGGCTTTTGCTGGGACCTGGAGCATCATGATCTAACCCTGTGTCTGTCTGCTCCCTGCAGCTCTGTGTAATCCTAGAACCAATGCAGGAGCTCATGTCACGGCACAAGACCTACAGCCTCAGTCCCCGGGACTGCCTCAAGACTTGCCTCTTCCAGAAGTGGCAGCGGCCTGGGAGGCTCCTCGGCGCGGGGGGATGGAGTCGGGCAGGCCTTGGAGGCGAAACCCAGCCTGGGGGCCCCGGAGGTTGTCCCCCACTTGCGGGGGTCTGGGTGCATGTGGAAAATGACGGGTTTGCTGCAATACCCGTTTGGGAAGGTTTTTAAAATGCAAAACCTGTTTCTGCGGCCAGAGCTGGGTTGTGCCAAAACTGTGCCCGGCCCAGTGCACCCCGTCCTGAGGGCGTGTGGCGGGGGTGGGGCGGGCAGGATGGCTGCCTGCCCTCGGGACCACCATGGGTCACCCACCCCTGGGTCGGGGCAGGAGGAACCCAGAAAGGACACGGGAACTCTGTGGAGGACGAGGAGAGGAGTTTGTCCCTGGTGCCTGGGTTGGGATGGGTTGGTGGTGACCTTGACCCGGGTACGGAGAGGTGGCTCTGGGGTGGCTGGGTGCCAGGAGGTGGCAGGGGCAGGGTGGGGCAATCCCAGCATCGCCGCCTTCCCCGGCAAGCTTTCCATCAATCACAACTGAAACTTAAACAAACCATAAAGCCTGGGTGCTGGCACTGTGCAGCGAGGTGCCAGAGGACAGGGTAAGTGTTTCATCTCTGCTTCACCCCCCACAGCCTCTCTGGTCCCTCGTGGGCACCACCTGCCACTGCTCCCGGGACTCCCCATCCCTCCTCGGTGCTCTCCCGCAGCTCTTTCCTTCTGGGCAGGAGCTGGCAGGTGCTTGATTTTTTCTCCCCGTATTTCCTTCTCGGAAGCAGAAGGCAGGGCAGGCCGGGTGGCCCTGCACCCCGACGGCACCGACAGCCCCTCTCTGTGCCCAGTCACCCGCCGGAGCTGCCGCGATGGAGCTGGGGAACGTCTCACAGCCCGTGTATGGCCCTGGGCCCGAGGAGCCGGGGAGCAGCGTGGTGGGCCTGGTGGGGATGGTGCATGGCTTCCTGCGGCTGGTGCAGCCCAACGCCCTGCCCATAGGTGCGTGCACGGCGGCGAGGGGCTGGCGATGGGGTGGGGGGGCTGCTCAGAGCTGCTGGGTCCCTGTTGAGCCTGAGCTCTCCTGGACTGGTGACCGTCCATCCAGCATTTAAATGCTGGGGTACTGGGTTAGGAGGGGTATGGGGAGGGAAATGGAGTGGGGTCCCTAAGGACTGCCAGCTGTGTCCTGCCCGTGTCCCATCACAACTGTGGGGCAGTATCAGGTGGGCCTCAGGACAGGCTTTGGTGGCAGCTCCACTTTGCAGAGTCCTGCCCCATCCTCCGGGTATCTTCATCACAGGCCCCCATGGAAGGTGCAGAGCAAACCCCACGCTGCCTGTGAGATATGGGGTCCTTGCCTGGCTTGCGGCCCTCTGCTTAGGCAGGACCTGACTTGGGGCCACCAAGAGCAGTGTGTTCCAGTGCCAGCACCCGCACGGCAGTGCTGCAGGCACCCGCTGCACACCACCCTGCTTGCCAGCACTCGCCCTCCCTCCTCCACCTCTGAGGGGATGTGTCGCTGGCACAGCTCTGCCCCGAAGTTGCTGCAGGTCAGCATGAGTGATGTCAGGACCCTGCGACTGCTCAGTGCCTGTGGAGCAAGTGCTGCCCACCCAGGGGGTGATTTGTCACTCTGGCTGCTGGCACTTGTGCTTCCTCCTTTGCTGGGCTCAGCCCTTGCTCGCCAGAAACTTGCAGGCAAACGCGTGGCTGGCAAACAATGCGATGGCTTTGTGGCATTGTTTGTGTCGCGCAGATACTGGGGTACAATCACACAGCAGCGTGTGTTGGTTTGGCTTGTAATGAGGCCATGGGGCAGGGCGAACCCTGGGGATGAAAAAGGCTGCGCAGTGGGGGGACCTACTTTGCCCTGGTGCCCATCTCGTGCTGGGTGGGCATCTCCCTGGGGCTGGGCTGCAGGAGGGCAGCCCAAGGGCAGCCAAGGTGGTTGTTGGAGCATCCTCCCCCGAGCCTGCCCCCAGTGCCTGCTGGGGTGAGGACCTCCTTGGTCTGTGGACCCCGAGAGCCTGGGGACTTGCAGTGCTTTTCCTGGGTGCAAAAGGGCTGTGTGACATGATGGCTGGGGAGAGGCAGCTGTGAGAAACCTGCCATGCACTTACAGCCACTCTGAGCTGCAGCACTGGAGGTGATGCCTCGTGCTGGCAGCCCCTCTCTGAGGTGAGCAGGGTGCGGGGCCCTCCTGGAGAGACCAGTACCTGCTCACAGCCCTTTCCACTCCTTGTCCTGCAGAACTGATCTCAGACTTTGGGCAGCCCCAGAGTGAGGATGCCAGCAGGGAGCAAGTCCAGAAGGTGAGCGGGCAGCCAGGGCAAGTAGCCAGCAGCCCCAGACCACCACAGGTTGGGGGATGCTGGTGGGTGCTGCTCTGCGGCTGAGACCTGGGTTCTGGGCAGCAGTAAAGGAACCCATCCTGCCCCATGGGGGTCTGAACAGGACCCGCAGAGCTGGAGAGCCTTCAAGAGCACCGGTATTATGCTGCCTCTCATTATTCCTCTCCCAGCTGCTGCACTATGAACTGGGTTTCCTGGTCTGCACAGCCATCGGGCTCCTCTTCATCATCCTCGTGCCCCTGGTGGGATGTTGCTTCTGCTGCTGCCGCTGCTGCGGGAACTGTGGGGGCCGCATGTACCAGAAGCAGGGCCGGCAGATGGGCTGCCGGCGCCGGGCGCTCTGGGCCTCCGTCCTGCTGATCTCTGCTCTCCTCCTGTGAGTACGCCGGCTGGGAGGCTCCGGACGGGACCTAAGGGCGGGTGGAAACACCGGCGCTTGGCGGCTGTGCCAGGAAGCTGCCATTGTTCACAGGAGCAGATCCCAGCACGGCGGGACAAAGGAGAGGAAGCAGTGGCGGTGGGGAGCTGGCCCCGGGGGGGCTGTGTGTTGGCAGGGTGTAGACCCTTCCCGACAGCTTTGCTATGGGGAAATGTGGGTGCGCCAGGCACCAGGCTCCCCTGTGCCTCAGTTTCCCGCATCCCTCCTCTTGGCTGTGTGCAGGGCTGATGCTCTGGAAGTGGGGCTCAGTGGCATGGTCTGGGCCCTGTAGCCTGCGGTTGGTGCAGGTGGATTCAGAGAGTCCTGGGGGGAGTGTTGGGACCGAGCTCCCCGTGTGCTGACCCTGTTGCCCTTCCCTTGTAGGGCTGGTGATGTCTGTGCCTTCGTCAGCAACACCCGCTTCTCCCAGGCCGTGTGCGGCACCTTCCCCAACATCAATAACACCCTGGACAACGTCCGCACCTATGTGGCCTCCATCCCCCTGGCAAGCCTGGTCCCCCTCCCTGGCTGGGTTACCTAATGGGGCCAAGGGGTCAGGCGGAGAGCAGCCCACATATCCCCTCAGGAAAGGGTAACAGTGGGGCTGGAGGTGGGGCAGGGTCCCCACCCTCACTGACACCCCATCTCTGTCCCTGCAGCAAATCAATTTTATCATCGACAGCAGTGATGTCCCGCTGGGCCACGCCAACCGCAGCCTCCAGGGTGAGGGTGTGCAGCAGAGGGGGGCTGGAGCATCCCCATGCACCCATGGCGAGCTGCTCCAGCAGGGTTGGGGGTGCTTGGGGAGTGGGGGTGTCTAGGGGTGCTGCGTGGGTGCACCCTGCTGCTCTGTAGGTGGCTGCTGACCCTGGGGGCCACTGGGGTGTCTAAAGGGAGTGGGTCTAGTGGCTCCTCCTGGCTCTTGCTCTGCTCCAGCAGCTGCTTTTCCCCATTTCAGGCTCCTCTCCAGGGAGGGTGAGGAAAGTGGCGGCACGGTGGGGGTGTCCCTTCTGCTTGCCACATGGGGGCTGGTGTAGGACAAGGTCTTGGGGTGTGTGTGTGTTGGTGTTGGCAGTTCCCCTGCAAAGCCCTGGGACCCCAGGGGTTCTGTCATTGACACCATCTCTCCCACCTCCGCAGACATTGGGCCCAAGCTGGGTGGCATGATCACCTCAGGCATCAGAAGCAGCATGGACGGGGCTCTGGGATCCCTCCAGAACCTCCTGCAAGGTAGTGGCCCCATCCCTGGGGGGTTGGCAGGGCCTTGGAGGGGACTTGGGGGGGAAGCCAAGAATGAGAGCTGGAGTAGGTGCATGTTTGGGTAAGGCTACCAGGGAGGGGGGGGTCCATCTGGCCTCCCAGCCGCAGCCAGGGGAAAATGCTAGGACTTTGGGGGATGCCCCTATGTTGCATTTTTTGATGGGTCCCTGAGGTCCAGCTGGCTGAGGACAAGCCCCCACTTCCAGGCAGAATGAGGCCCCGAGCCCCCCCACTGTCTCCCCAGGGATGGAGATGTTGGCGGCCACCTTCAGCAGCATTGCCAGCACTCGCTCGCGCCTCGAGCAGCTGCAGAGCAACTCCAGCCGGCGGCTGGCCAGCCTGCGGGATGGCCTCAACCAGACCCTGCAGCGCTGCGGCCGCCCCTGTGCCAGCGTGTCCCTGGAGGGCCTCGCCTTCAGCGCCAACTTCAGCACGGTGAGGAGGGGCAGGGTGCGGGGCCAAGGGTCCCCCACAGCCCCTTCACCAGCACCCCGCAGCCCCCTCACCCCAGGCTCTTCCCCGCAGATCCCTGGTGTGGAGCAGCAGCTGGAGGCACTGGGTGATGTGTCTGGCTCCAACATAGCAGCCGATTTAGAGAAGGTAAGGGGTCACCCCTGCACCCACGCACAGGGCTGGGTGCTCTGGGGGCTGCAGGGGCTGTGCTGCAGAGGGGTGGCTTGGTAAGAGCCCCGCCAGGGGCTGCTGCATGGAGAGATGTGCTGGTCAGAGGCCTGCCTCGGCCAGAGCCTGCCCGCTGTCTCCACCACCCCCAGGCACTGGCACATTCAGGGATGGGTGCTGGGGGGAGTATTGGCTGTCCCATGCCACCGAGATCTGGGGACAGAGGGAATCTGCTGAGGCCTGGGTGTGGGCAGGGACATGAGCTGTGTGCTGTGCCCCCCTGGATGCAGGTTAACAGCACGCTGGACATGACCCCTGCCAAGGTGCAAGAGCAGTCCCAGGACATGGTGACAAGTAAGCAGGGCTTTGTGCCCCGTGTGCCAAGTCCCCCCTCTCCCAGGGCTCCATATCCAGTTCTCATCCCATCCCTGCTTGCAGACCTCCCCTGCTGCCGCCCCACTGCCTGCAGCCCCGGCTGTCCCCAGGTCCCCATGTGCTATCATGCTGATTCCATCCTTGACCGAAGCCAC